AAAAAAAAAAAGTTTGAAACCTGAAGTGTGGCATGGTCAACAAGTTTAAGGGGGGCTAATACTTTCAACACAATAGTTGTGAAAACTGTTCTATCATGATGGGTTAGTAAATCAGAAAAGAATGTATGAGTAATGTGCTGAATAGGTGACCATGCCTCCGAAGGCACTGGGACAAAAGATCCTTTACTCTGATGTCCCACAACATACTGGTTAGGATCACAAACATAAAATATTATGATATGAAGGTATAATTACTTATAAAAAGGATATGAAAGAAGTGACGGAACAAAAAAAATCATGATTGTTTTGTCCTAAACACTTCATGTAACACATAACACCACATTCAGCCAACTCTGCATCACCAGCTACTTGGGAAAATCATGAAAATAATGACCCTACAGACCAAAAAAAAAAAAAAAAACCCTCACTAACATACTGATCATTCCTAGTTTCCACAAATAAACCTCCACCCACCAACCACCAACTCACATGACATTCTTTGCGGATAAAGGCAGTTTACGATTGCACGAATCTCAATCTTTTATGCTATGTGTCCCATTGTATTATTGTTATTTTATGTTCAATTTTCTGTAAAGCGCATTGTGAGAGCTGCAGCTGTAGTGAAAGTGCCATACAAGTAAAGATGCATAGCATTTTATTGTATTCCTGCTCTTGTGGACCCACAAAGTCTTCACTGAAAGAATGCAGGGCATTTGCTGTTTAATACACCCGTTTTTAGGGTGTTACCACAATCTAGAAGTGGCAGAAAGTACTAAGCAGTTTTGACCATCTACTAAAAACGGAATCAAGCTTGCTATTTGTGTTGGTAGAGATGAAAATTGTCCCACAAATCCATAATTGTGTGTATATATGCAGAAAGTCAGGTAAAGGTTTTGAGCTCACATGCCCTATACTTGTCACCACGGGTGTGGGAGGTCATATTGGCATTTTATCTGGAGATTAAATGTGACATTATATCCTGTGATGTATTAAGCGGCATCAGTTTTTTTCTTTCCCACTTTATCTTGGGGAGAGAACATATTCTCAATATTTTAACGCATGAGAAATAAGCATTTTAATTTCTGGTTTAAATTAAACACCCCCAATACCAGTTACACATCATACATTAAATGAGCTACAAAAGAAGATGCTCTTGTTCAAGAGGTGTGCTCATATCAATGGATATTAGGCTGCAAAAACTATTGGTACTTTACTCTGGCAGCACATCAGCACGGTGAAGATGACGATAGAAACCGAATTGAATGCACATCATGCGGTCGAGCTATGGATCTTGAGCAGAATGACAACTCGTGAGAAAAAACGAACCACTCAAAATCATAATTAAACGGGATTCATTGTTAAGCGAAATTACGACAAACATGCCCATTTCAAATATGAAAACGGTAAGATACTTTAAATGCCGACAGCTCTTTTTGTTGTAAGTCATCACTCAACCCGCCTTCTCCTCCTTAGTCAGTGTCTCATGACAAGGAAAAACGTCACCCATAGCGAGAATAAAAATACATTAAAAAATAATTTCCCCGCAAGTACGAGATCAATGACATACTGTAGATTCACAAAACACTTACCAAAGGTAAATGTTCCGTCTCGGGCTCGAATTTCACTATTTTCTCATTGAAATATGAAGCTTCCGTTAGAAGGATCATCCTCTGTGACAGGAAGCTGAGAAAAACAGCCAACCACAACCTGAGCAAATTACCCGAATCCCGCCTTTTCTCCGCAGTCATTGGCCAAGAGTACGGAAATTTCGTTCCGGGCACTCTGTGGTGATTGGGCATCAGCGTCAACTGCTCTTCAGTAAATGGGCTTGAGGATTGGCCCAAATTAAAGCATGGCTGACATTTTGTTTCTTGTGTTTTCATTTTGTTGCGTTCATTCAACCACCAGGAAAAAATGTCCAAGAACGTCGTAAAAAGAAATACCAGCAAAGACAACTTTAATAAATGTTGTATGACGTTTTCTTTTCCTTTCACCCAAGTTGTATCCCTCACACGTCTCTATCCTTATGCATTTCATGTATGTGGCTGTGTATTTTTAGGCAACGATTGAAATTTGGTGTTACACTTTATATATTATATAGGTATCAAGACGCCGCTGCGGTTGATTAGTATAAGTATAAAACAATTTAGGACAGCATGGTGTGAAACAAACATCCCTTTGTATCTAAAAGTAGTAGCCCGGGAATTATGAGTAATTAGAATAAATAAATAAATATAAAATAAACAAAATCACCTAAAAAATTTCAACAGAAACATGAATGGCTCAACATAATTTATTTTCATTTTATGTTAAAATGTACAGAGCTGTTTGAAAGTACTTGCTAAGAAAAGGGGGTGGGAGTGGATAAATGTAAATACATACAGGGACAGAGTAGAGAGTTGAGACCGCTGAGCACAGCACAGCACTCAGCCAAACACTCTATTTATTTTGCACTCTCTTAGCATACAACGAAACATGTACAATTCCAAAGGATACAAAAAGGGAAGCGATATAAACAGACAGAAATATACGGAGCTTATTTTTACATGCCTCTTTAATGTAAGGAAGTCATCCTATACACACACAAGTAAAAAAAAAAATGCCAAGTGACCTTTAGATATTTGTAGTCCTTTTGTTTAAAATAGCATCAATATACTACACAAAGATAGAAAAACTCTAGAGGTGAGATGGAATGGAAAGGTTAAAGGCATCTTATAGTCACTAAAAGTGAGTAGATTTTTTTTATTAGAATTTCATATTAATTATTACCCAAGAGGTGAGCTAAAAATATGCAGTGTTTTTGTCCTGAAACAGAAGAGAGAAAAAATGACAGTACCAAATAACAATGTCAGAATTTCTTTTTATATTATAGAAAAAGAGTCAGCTTAGGTCATAATAGAAAGCTGCCCAGTCTGATAAAATTCAGAAAGAAAACAAAGTTCAGAACAGAACAATAGACACAAAAAGTATGCAATGTCAGGTCTTTAAGAAAACGAAAACGCCTCTTTTGACTTTGAATACTGGTACATGGAGCAACAAGGTGAACCGTTCCACCCGCGCCATTTAAACACCATAACCAACAAAGATCTGACCCTGCTTTCATACGAGTGTGCCTCTATGTGTGGGCCAAGCCATGCACTACACCAGGCCTTTAGGTATACGTACACCCTTTATAAGGGCTAACTGTCTACCGCAGTATCTCTAGCAAACACAGAATTTGAGAGAAAATAAAATGCATATATAAAAAAATACAAGTTTAACAGAATACACATTTCATAAGCAGATACCTCAACCTCTTTGGGTCTTTAACACTTGAGGGAAAGTCAGCTAATTGTTAATCAAATTACCTTAAAACAGCTCAATGGAAATCTCGCTGTTTGTTCTGAATTCTTTAACCACAAAAAAAAAAAAAAAAAAAAAAATTGACATTGCACACCGACTGTCAGTGGAGTGTGGACAAGAATAGCTGAAGGTTGTACATTCCTGGGCTAGCCATCTTATGCAAGAGCGAGCCAGTATGTGTCTATGCTTGTGTTGCTTGATAATGGGAGATGCCACGATATTTACATCTTAACTTGTCAAAGTGGCAGAAAACTGGAACATAATGCTACTATTGAATTACAAAAAGACATTGTTGTCTCCTCTGTGTCTATGCAGTGTTTTTGGTATGATGTCATCCATCCAGGAAGAAAGAAATATGAAGAAACACCTTGAAGACAGGAGGCCCCCGCTGGCCAGGCTGGCCATGGAGATGTTGGGGTCTTTGTGAGGACCCAAGAGGGTGTGCCACCATTTCAGAATGCCACAAATATAAAGACTGAAGCATATAAGAGGCCAGACTGCACACAGATATTCCAAAACAAAACAACAAAAATAAAGTTCAACATTGTTTAACAAAACAAGAATCCACCAACTATGTCTCTTTTTTTAAGGTAAGGCTTCCTATGTCAAAAGATTGTGTGCATGGTTGAATATAGTCAGATAACTGTCTTTTGCATTTGCAATCCCACAAAGCAAGATCAGAATCAATCCCGTATTGTCCTTTTCTGTGTAACTTCCTCGCGCCATCCTCTTTTCCCCTCTTCAAAGAGGAAGAGTAGACATTTGGGCCAGTTTGCCTGGTCTGCGTGGGCCTGGCCCGGTCCACGTACACACCTTGCCTATCTTATGAGAAATGGGCAAAATGATTACAGAGAAAAACAGGAGGCCCCCGATTTCCATTCACTTGCACTCTTGGTGCCTTCCGCAGCACTGTAGAGTGTGAACACGACTGATGCACATTTAAAGAACGGCGAGAATCAGCCTTGGACCTATGTCTTCATCTGCTCATGTAGGGTGACTGTTTTGGAACACCGGCATAGCTATGATGGGAGGGGCCTGTATACATCATATTGCCATGGTGATTTGGCTGCATAGGCTGCTGGGGGTAACCCTGCCCTCCCATCATTCCCATTTGCATTTGCATGGGATACTGAGCTGTCTGATTCATGTAAGGAGGATTACCATGGTAACCACTGTTCATCATTGGTTGGGGCATTCGGTATCCAGCTGACATGGGATTAAGTGGTGTCATGTTCATGGAATTGTATGGTGCCGGCGTTGGCATGAGGTTTGGCATCATGCCTCGTTGAACAGCCAAGGTGCGAGGTGTGCCTTGCATGGCCACAGCCCCCGAACTGCGTCCATAGAGCTGCTGCTGGTGCGGGGCTGGGGCCAACTGCTGCGGGGCTTTGGACCGAATGGATATATGGCCTTTGACAGTGGCCATTTGGCCCTGCAGTCGCTGTGTGTGGGGTGGCGGGCCCAGACTGATGTTCGTGGTGGGCATGTTGCATTGCAGCTGCAGGGAGCCCAAGTTCATGGAGCCAGAGCTAAGGTTAGGGGGTGGGGTCATTGTGGGCTGCCCCTGGGAGAGGGGCGCATGGGCAGAGGGTGCCAGCCCAGGATTAGATAGTGAAACACTGGTGGCATAAGAGGTGACAGAGGCTGAGTGAGAGTACGGCATGGCATGTGGATCCATGATGGTGTTTGTAAGCTGCTGGAGTTTGGCCAGGCTGAAGGTTGCAGACGGTTGGGGGTACCCCCCTGTGCCAAAGTCCTGACCCATACGTTCATACAAGGTACGACCACTTCCCCCGACCCCACTCTCAGGAATCTCCATAATCATGGGAGTGGAGCCAAAGCCATTTCCCATGCTACATTGGGACAGGGACTGCTGTTGTTGCTGCTGAGGAGGTGGGGCTGAGGGTGGAGGCTGAGAGTTGGGGGTTTGCTGCTGCTGAGGCGGCTGCTGCGGAACCTTCTTTTGGGATGACTGTGGCTGTTGCTGATTCGTGCTGGGAGGCCTCTCAATGACACCACAGCTCTGGGGAGACTTAATGCCACAGCTAGGGGTGTTAGATGGATGAGGAGGAGGTGGGGGTTGGGGGACAGAATTGCCAACATTACTACCTCCGGGTCCACTGTTGGGACCCGGTCCAGTTTGCTGGATGAGGCCACAGCTTCCTAATCCGTGCTGATTTCCTCCATTCCCTGTGGAAGATGCTAGACTAGCGGTTGGCACGAAGGAGCAGCTATTGGACTGCGAGGAGGATGGAGTGGCCGAGCTAGAAGAAGAGGTGGCAGATGACGAAGCTGAAGAAGCACCTGCCACAGACATTCCACCTCCATTACCCCCATTTCCCGTTCCGTTGCTACCTCCACCCATTGTCGAATCATAGCTGCTGGGGTTATCATAGTTCTCTGTAGTGCTTTCGATACTACCCAAGTCACTGAAACCACTGTCAACCACCTGCTGCGAGTGGTCTGACACAGATGGGACATCCATCATAGGAGATGTCTCCATGTTTTGCTGGGAAGGTGCAGACAGAGTACTGGGATGTTCTGGGGTGATCTGTGTGTACCCACCGCCAGTTCCACCACCTGCTCCAGTGGGGCCAGGAGTCCCACCCCTTTGGCCCGCTGCTGTTGTGTCCATGATGGCCGAGGACAACCCGGGACTGTTCACGGAACGCACTGACTGACTGGGCAGTGGGGGCAATGCAGGATTAGGCAAGGGGCTGCTATGTTGGGAGGCCCCACAGTCCTCCACTAATGCCAGGGTCTCCTCCTCGGCATCCCCCGTGTGGCTGTAACTCTGTAGTGTCCGGCAGGCAGCAAGTGTCTCTTCACAGTCCTGGTAAGCCCCATGGTGAGGCTCAGTCTCTTCATCTTGGACTTCCCCTTGTGTCAGAGACTGCACTGCCTGGACTGTCTCCAAGTCGAGTTCATTGGAGTGGTGATGTGGATGTTGTGAGTGATGGTGACTCAGCTCCTCTTTGAAGTCAGAGTGCTGATGGGAGTGGGATTGAGTGTGTTGGGGTTCAATCAACAGTGCTACATTTTTGTCCTCCGTCTGCAAAGGCTGCAGCTCCATGGGCTCTGACGGAACAGACATGGCCGTAACAGTTTCCACAGCCGCGGCAGCCGCAGCAGACTCCTCCTGCTCTCTACGCCGCCTGTCCTCCTGCTGTGGATCAGCGGAGGAGGACCGACACTTTGACTCCTGCACCTGCTCTTCAGGGTCCTCCTCCTCCTCCTCTTCCTCCTCCTGCTTGCTGACATAGTCCCGGGCCATGCTGTTCTCCATGCCTAAAAAAGCCTCTCCGCCTTGTGGTTCTTCTTTCACTGGAGGGGAGCTCGCATGGGAAGCAGGCTCTTCCTCCTCATCTTCATCCTCCTCCTCATCAGACTCCTGACTTTTACGTTTTTTACTGTTGTTGCTGCTGTTGCTTTTCTCCTCTAAGTGTCCATCACCTTCATCATCTGCATCATGGTCCTCACTACGCCGGCTTCCTGAACCTGGGGTAGCTGCTGCTCGCCTCGACAAATCAAGATTACCATGGCCCTGGCTCTCAAATTCCTCTTCTTCCCTTTCGTCTTCCTCATCAATTTCTTCTCTTTCGCCAGTATCAACATCCTGAGGGCGGAAATGTTGGGCCCTAGGCCCTAGGTTGGATGAGGAGGAGGAAGTAGCTAAAATGGGGCGGGACAGTGGACGGCTAGATTTGTTCTCCTCCCAATTTCTCTCTGCTTCCTCCTCCTCCTCCTCATCATCATCCTCATCATCATCATCATCATCATCATCCTCTTCTGCGTCGTCTGGTTCAGAGTTGAGAGGTGGCCTTGGAGCAGGTGGGGGTGGTTGACGGAGGGTAGGGTTCCTGGGTGGCCTTCCTCTCCTTTTTGGTAAATTCTGCTCGACGGGAATAGGGAGGTAATCGTCTTCGTCAGAATATTTTTCTTTGTTATCTAAGATGGCTCTTGAAACACGCTTGCTGTTTCGATCTGTTGAAAGCGGCTGAGGATCTTTGTCCAACTGCTGCTCCAGCAGTCTTTGCCTCTCCTGCTCTTGCCTCTCTGCTTCCTCTTGGGCACGCTGGAGATACCAGCTCCGAGGTTTCCGGCCAGGCTTCATCTTGATTTTGGGAGGTATAGGAGCACCACTTGCTTGACTTTCTGCAGCAGCTCGCTGGTTGGCTCCACTTCCAGGTGGTCTTCCAGGTCCCCGTTTTTTCCAGTGCAGTGGTTTACGGCTCTTTCCCTTAGGCCAGCCTTTCTTCTTCTTGACTGGGACCTCAGGATTGGCGGCTTGATTTGCCGAGGGACTTGATGGCAATGCAGCCCTAGGGTTCAGCATAGCAGTTAGATCTAAAATGACAAAAAATAAACAGGTGTGAAATACAGCATGAGAGACATCCATGTATAAACACAAAATTATCAGAGAATCAACAAGGTCCCCAGAACCCACCATCTTCCTCTGAATCGGAGAGGTTGCAGTGTCGACCCCTTTTGGGAGCAGGGTCTGACAACCTAAGTACAGAGTGAGCAGGTGGGTAGCGGCGCAAGGGGTGACCCAGGTTTGTCTCCTCCTCCAGCCTAGGCATGGGCCTCTCTGTGTCAGAGTCGACAAAGGGTTCGTCCAAAACCTCTGTGGTCTCAGAAATAGTCTCTGTCACCACGCTGCTGTGTGGGTGGCTACGCTTGCGAAAACGACGCTTTCTCAACGGCTTCTGGGCAAAGCAGAAAGGAAATTGAGTTTATAAGTTTATGCTTCATTTATAGTTTTACTTCATTACTATATTCCTAACTAAATTTCTATTATTGTATATTGTAACTTCTCACTGAGAATAAATATGAGCACTTTCTTTGTACCTTGCACTTGAGCCCCATCACTGGCTTTGTGAGTATGGGTGGAGAGCTTGCCCTGCTTTCTTCATCATCGTCATCCTCCTCGTCGTCGTCTTCTTCTTCTTCGCTACTATCACTGAAGCCACTCTTCCTGACGAGAGGAGAATCATTCAGCCTGGAAACCCCAGGAAGCTGTCCCAGCCCCTCACTTGGTTCCTCCATCTGTCTGGGTTTGGGGCCTCTCTTTTTCCTCGGAGGACGCCCTCTTCGGGTGGGAGTTATGGTGGGGTGCCGAGCCATGTCTACTGTGTGAAAGCTTGTTGACTCTACTTTTCTCTCTGGTGAGAATAGGGAGAGCGGGCTGGTTGTGGAGCCAATTTTTCCTTCATCTGTCCTTTCATCATCCTCACCCTCTTCCTCCATTGGCCGCACCTTAGGTGGCTGCCCAACTCGCTGGCTATCCTTAACTCCTTTACCCCAAGGCCAGTTTTTGGGTGGGCGACCGCGGGGCCTGCGTTCGCCATTTGCTGCCAGAGGTGGACGTTGTGGCTGTGGGGCAGGTGGACAGCAAAGTGGAGGGGATGTTAGAGAACTTTGGCTGACAGGAAACCCTAGGAAGCCTTTTCTCTCTTCTTCTTCTTCCTCCTCCTCCTCCTCATCATCCTCCTCCTCCTCCTCCTCATCATCATCTTCTTCTTCTACCTCCCTTTTCTTTGCTTGACGCATGTGCCAAGACATTGAAGGTAGCTTGTGACTTGGTTTGATCTATTTAAAAACAAGAAGCAACATATGTCAAGGCTGGTTCGCTGAGAGTGCATGGTAATTGTGTAATAACTTGTCATGTGCTTACCTCCTTGCGGTCATCCACAGTTTGTTCTTGATCATCCTCTTCATCTTCATCATCCTCAGCATCCGAAACCACGGTGTTGGTTACAATCACAGGAGTCCAGCGGAGACACTCTGGGTCAACTTCTAGCTGTCGTGGTCGGGTCTTGAGACGAGCTATATGGTTATCTATCAGCTTCTCTCGTCGCACCAGGACAGTCCTGACAAGGAAAACGTCATTACAATCCTGCATTCTTGTTCATTCTCATGTCAATGACAGTACAATACTCCTCTACTTCATTACCTTCCAAAATAATCTCTGTAGTCAACCCACAACCTTTTTCCCGCTGTTTATTATTCTGAAAATTGTGTTGTATTCTCTTTCTGCAACTTCGTGAATTACATTGTGAGCAATATCCCCATGTAAGTAAAAACCATTTCTGGGACATGTTAGGGCCATGTCAAAGAGCAATGTATGATCTTATGATAACATATCAAGGTTTATTACAATTAACTTATGTATGGGTGAACAGTAAGAAATTGAGACTGCCTGACAATTTTAAGGACAATATCGTTGACAATATTTGACATGAAGCTAAAACATACATTGTGCCTATGTATGTTTGAAGATTCCGTGCTCTAACCTGTCTCCTCGTTGCTCAAGCATGTTGAGGCTGTGCAGGGTTGTGGTGATATCCTGGGGGCAAATCCCAGTCAATTTGCTGAGCTGTCTTATTGTGATCATCCGGTCATGGACCCTATGGAGGCACTCTAGGACCTCACTGCGCCAATAGGCCATGTAGGATAGCCGGCCGAGGTCTGAGAGAGGCTTCTCTGGTGATCCAGGCTGGCCCTCACGTTTAGATAGCAAGTAGCCTGCAAGGAGGCACATGGCAAAATACATGGTGAATTCGAAGAAAAGTATTGCTTTCATAATTCAGACAGAGGAACTAGCAGTTTCTCTGTCACATGTTTGTGTCAAGATAGCCAATCACAGTTGCTTTGTGTGTATGTGCAACAAGGAGAGATTATTACTGAAATCAATAAGAAAGCGCCCATAGCCCTTTCGCTGGTACTGAGGAAGAATCATGATGCATGATACGTTGTATTTCTGCTGGCAGTGTTTCTCCTGGAAAGACACAGACATATTCCACCATTAGAAAACGATAATAAAAAACGGTCACTTGTTCGTAGGCCTCAGTGGGGACCGCTACGTTTGATGTTAATGTGTAAAATGTTAACGTGTTAAATCACTAAATGCTCTGTTTTGGTTGGATACTGGCATTTTAATTGATGCACTTCCAACGAACAAGTCGGAGGCACCTGGGGAGTTTGGCATGAAATGAACACATTATGCATACATTATTAATTTTGTGTCTCCACGGTGGACACTTGCATCACTGGTATATTATAAGATATGGTAGTTGTATGACAACAATGTAAAAAAGTTGTATTGCAAGTAGGGGTGCACTGATCCCAATTTTCTGGCCAATCACCAATCTTTACAATGCCTGAGCTGCCGATACCGATTTTTGCAGATCCGATTCCCCCCCCCCCATAATCAACGGCATACAGCTTCAATGTTTTAATTTTGTCTTATTGTAAGACATTGATCTTTACCTGTGAAATGAAACAAACGGGTTCTTTTAACTGCGAATGAATTACTTCTCTCAAATAAAAATGAAAAGCCTATTTGTCATCTCACAGCCGAGTCAGACCGTGTCTGACATTTTCAGACTCTGCGCAGGGAGATGAGATCGGTGGAGAAGATCGGTTTTATTTTCAGGGATCGGACAATCACCGGTCCCCCAACATGAGGGAAATTGGCACCGATATCGATCTTAATCGGTGCACCCCTATTTGAAATGATAGTTTTACCTTAGAAAAATAGCCGACAAGGTGGCAACCTTTACTGTCATTCTGTGTGAGGACATAGAAAAGGAAGGGCTCCACGTCATAGTAGAGGGTCTTGTGGTCGAGGAAAAGTTTGGCCAGCAGGCACAGGTTCTGGCAGTAGATTGTGCTCACATTTCCATCGACCTTTCAAAAAGATTAACGAGAGAACAGTTGTGAGTGTTAGAAAACAGAAGATTTCCCTCGTGATGCCTGTTCACCCACTGAACACTTTTCTAGGGAAGTCACGTGCTGTTTTCAATAGTATGGAACAAGTGAAGGGAGGCGTTGGCATCAGGAAATGACCTCAACTGAGTCTCAGAAGAGATTGTGCGATACAAAGGGATGGAGGAATGACAAAAAAGCTGTCAGATCAGGGTGACTTAAGTTTTATCCTTTTATCCTGTGAATCAAACTAAAGAGAAGGTTTTTGGATGTGGGTTGGAAACAGCATAACATAATGTGAAAAAATTAAATGCTGATAGGTGTAATATGTATATCATAAATTCTGTCAGATACATACTCTTACATGCATATATTCATAGTCCCCTCCAAAAGCACTTGAAGGGCAAGGTCACTTCCTTCCTTTTGATTGTGTACTGAATTCATTTGAGTTTCAAATCAAAAGATCAACATCAGTCAAAAGTTCAGAATCCCATCTTTTATTTCATAGTATTTACATTTAGATGTGTTAAACAACTCAGGACAGAGCACCTTTTGTTTGAGCAAAAGTATTGGAATATGTGCCTGATGAGTGTTTCTAGTTGCGCAGGTCCCGCTTTTTAGATTGATTGCTTAAACATTCGATAGGGCTTGTTTTTGCCTTGGGGTTACACTTGTGAAAACGGTATTTGCTGTTAAGCAATCATGACGACCAAAGCGCTCCCTATGTGAGAAAAGCAAACCATTTTGAAGTTGAGATGAACAGGGAAAATCAGTCAGGGATATTGCACAAACATTGGGCATAGCCAATATAACAATTTGGACTGTCCTGAAAAAGAAAGAAACCACATCTGTACTGAGCAACAGACATTGAACAGATTGGCCAAGGATATCAACAGCAGTTTATGTCAGAAACCTTGTGAGAGCTGTGAGGAAAGATCCAAAGGTAACAGTCAGTGACATCACTGCCAAACTCAACAGCGTAGGAGTGAAGGTATCACAATCCACTGTTCAGATCTTAGACTAACCAAGTTTATCACTGGACCTTAATCCGTTAGAGCATGTGTTTTATCTCCTGGAAATGAAAGTGAAGGGAGAAACCCCCAGGAATAAACAAGAACTGTAAGAGGATGCAGTAAACCCTGGAAAAGCATTTCAAAAGAAAAAAGCAACAGTCTGGTGAAGTCAATGGGTTGCAGGCTTGATGCAGTTATTGCAAGCCAAGGTTATGCCACCAAATATTAAATGTTATTCACTTCAAGTTAATTTAATAATTATGTCCCAGTACTTTTGCTCACTTGAAAAGAGGATGGCTTCAAACAAACGGTGCTCTGTCCTGAGTCGTTACAACATCAAAATGTAGATACCATGAAAGAAAAGCTGCTCTTCTGAACTTTTGTCTTATATTCATCATTCCATCTGAAACCCACATGTCTTCAGTACACAACAAAAACAAAGGATGTTTTTGTTCCTTGCCATTCTAATAGCTGCTGTGGCTTTTAATCAATTGACCTTGCCATTCTAATAGCTGCTGTGGCTTTTAATCAGGTGCGTTTTGCAGTCCGGAAATTACTGTAATTGCATAACCATGAATACAGCCATGACATTTTCCGTTGCACGAAAGCCTTTGTCATGGTGCAAGTGATATAGCTGGAATGTTCTAAAGATTGATTAATCGGTCAAGAGTTAATTGCTGGTCATTTACAATCGACATTGGCAGACAATTAATTATGTGAAGGGAGAGAAAAGAAATAGACCTAGTAGCAATGACAGCGGTGTATCTGTCTATAGCAGGGTCATCCTTCGCAATGCTGACTGTCAAGTACTAGTGTGTACCTCAAATACAGAGACGTCATCTTTCCTGTAAATCTCATTAGCTGGAGGATGGAACCAGTTGCATTTCTTCATGTGCTGGTAGAGGATGCTACGGCTCTTCATGTAGCGCAAGCAGAATTCGCACAAGTACAGTTTGGGTAGTCTAAAAAAGAAATTTAAGGTGTAATATGATCAAAAGGGTCAATGTATTTTTTTAATTCTCACAATATTTTACAAGTATCACATGAGCATATTTTTTTTGCAATCTACTGAAAAAAAATACTGCATTAAAAAAAATGGCAGAGCTTCGGTGTTTAGTCATGTTAGTTTGCAGAATATACTCATATTCCAAGAAATCATAGTTCATGGTTCAGTATTCAAACAAAACTAGGAATACCAATATGAACAACACTGTGTAAAAAGAAGGGAAAAAAATCTGGGTATTGCAAATACATTTGTATATTTTGCGCACCTGCTGTACTCCTGCGGGTAGGGAGAAGAGTACCACGTCTGGATGTCAAACTTTCCAAATTCAATGACTGACGGACACCGCATCTGAGGATCTGGTGGACCTGTAACCCCGACTTTCTACAAAGGGTGACCAAGGGTAAGGAAAGAAGAGAACAAACGGCAAAGGTTACATCCTGCACTGCATATAGCATGAACACAATACTGTATGTGCACAAAATAGAAAAAAAGATTAAATGGGGGCAATAATGAACAGCCTGGCAACTTTGAATATGAAGCCAATGAGAAGACATTCCTTCATCAATGCCGGACACAAGACTGACTCTCATCAAACTTCATTAAGTACTTAACTTGGCAATGCCAACAACACTACTACATCTACAGCATATATTTTTTCATATTCCCTGTATCCTGGCTGCTGATGACACTGCCTTTTTGTATTTTTTCACCCACCGCCCCCCCCAAAAAAAAACAAATCTGCTCCACCAGTCCATACCCAGCCCAAACCCAAATTAGGTCTGGGCAATGAATTGAAACGTAATCATGATGTCAATTTGGGATTTTCATTATCATAAAATCATTAAAATTGGAAGAAAAAATGTTTTTAATATGCCGAACAACACAGGGCGTGTTTACAAACTCCAATCTTGTGAAAGCATTCTGAAGGCACCCGTGTTGAGCATGTCACGAATGTTATTCTTCCCTCCCTGAGTGTGCTTACAGTTGTTGAATGAAATCCCAGCTAGCGTGAAATGTAACACTAAACACGCAACAAAAATTATTACACACATTGTATATTTAAATATAAGAAATACTGTATTTTACCAACATCATTCGTGCTAAAACACTAGCGGTCGATGCTAAATCCTATTGATGGACAAACAGAAAATTAGCATCGACTTCCGGATGTGATATGCCTTCAAATTCTGAATATTCACACACAAACGATGCGGTAACACATACTCATCGGTAATACAATACTCAAAGGCATATTTTTCCTAATCTGTCAAGAAGTTATATTTGTAAAGGAATTCCCAGGCCCAGGATCTGCCCTATGGGAAAAATTCTCATGGAATTCCTTCTTCTTGGTTATTTTTATGTTTATTGGTAGTCTTGTCCCCAAATAAAATTGTGATTCACTGAACTTGTCTTTGAGTATTTAAAAAAAAAAAGAAAACTTTATTTGACAATAAAGTTGTACTTGATACTTGACTTAATACAACAAATACGAATTACAAAAACTAGGGCCGAAAAAAAAACATGCAAAGCGCTTGGTCAAGCGCCCGTCTGAGTAGAGCAGGAAGTCGAGTGACCTGCGATCCCTGAAACAATGGTTCATATATGGCTGGTAGCCACTTTTTTTTCCGGGAGTTGCCGCTACTTGTTCGCATTATGTGTTTCATTATGATTGTAGTGCTATTCGATGAGTTTTAACCAACAGCTAGTGTGTGTGGCTGAGTGCATCATGTAAGCCATTGCATGACATTTCTAACTTAATAACAATCATGATGACTTTTTCCTATTTAGCGTCGTGTGTGTGTGTGTGTGTGTGTGTGTGTGTGTGTGTGTGTGTGTGTGTGTGTGTGTGTGTGTGTGTGTTGGCTGGGAGAGGGCCCGTGCCTTGTTGTATTTATTGCGATTATTTTAATATATTCTTAATTTATCTTGTCACTCATTTATTTTCTGTCTGATCATTTTAAGTTAGTTGAACAAATAAAAAAAATTTAAATCTAAGAAAAATTGTGATGATTAATCATGATTTCAATGTCAATCAAAATAGTTGTGATTATTTTTCCCACCAACTGCCCCAACCCTATGGTATCTCTTGACAGCAGGTGTAACTTCAGAATACACTTGTACATGAGTCTGTTCCTCTATTGGTGGTCCCGTCATATGCTTTATCGAGTCTCCACTTATCCCATCTATGGCAATCATTCTACATTTAATTGGATACCTGTAACGCAAGCTCCTGAATGTGTCTGAACAACTCAATGTCTTTTTCTGTTAGATTTTCGTGGCCAGGTAGTCTGTCGTCCTCATCGCGCCAGTCGCTGCCTTCTTGATTGTCTGACGGTGGGGGAAAAAGAAGTAAAACCATATGGAAAATTAAAAACTTCATAGGAGACACATAAACAAACCTTTGAGGTTTCCTTTAAGACTCAAGAAAACATCATGTATGACATTACACAGACTTCAGATTGCTGAAGATGTAAATATTCAACGTACCCGCCCTGTCGTCTCCATCTCCCTTGCGATTGGCTTTCTTTCTGATGCGACACTGTTCCGAGTAGTCCACCACTTCCTGGCGTGCCTTGCGACCCTCAGGCGACGGTGTAAAAAATTTTGTGAGTGCATCGATTAATCCCTTGGTCTTGTTGTTGAAGCGAAGGCTGCTTTGTGTCAGGTCGTCATCGTCCCGCATCGAGAAAAGTAGTCGGTCATCACCAGGGTAACCTTCGCAAGAGGAGCTGGACGAGGAATTGGCCGAGGCCGAGCGCTTCCGCCGAGCACGGCCACCCAGTTTCTTGAAGGGGCGTCCTGGCCTGGGTAGACATTGATAGGTCTAGTTACAATTTTCGTCATGTGGTCAGAAGATCCTGTCTGTGAAGTTCGCTATCAATGGCCTTCATTTACTAACTGTGTGTACGAACCAACAATTACTATACTGTAGCTGTGCGTATGCACCAATTTGTGGGCACAAGGTGAGTGAGATGGAACCAAAAATGTGTGAATCATCACTATTTTCGTACTTCAGTTTGTTAGGCAGGTTCTGTGTTTCAGCAAGCTTTCCGATGATACAAACATTTGGAAAAAAAGGATAGACTGAACATTATGAACGCTTTGGAGCCTTCTCCTGCAACAGTTTTTTTTTTTTTTCATCTTGCAACTTTAACCCTGCACGCATTGGCTGAGATGGCTGTAATTTTTGGAAAGTGTTAGATTGAGTATAATGGAACATATTATGAGTATGAGAGTACTGTACAGTGATATATAAACATGCCAGAATGTATGCTTACGCAGTGCCTGTACATACCGTATTTTATAGACATATGTACAGTACGCATATGTCTAAGTGAAGTTGTATACTTGAGTAGCTCTATATATTTACGTTTTTCCTTTTCTCTTCGTTACGGGATATATTACATGAATGACCTATTATATTAATATTGAACAAGTTAAAATACACAAAGGACAAGGGGTAGGGCTGAATACGTTTTTCACTTCTACTTCCTTTGAACATCTAAACCACACATGTCAAAGTGCCGGCCCGCGGGCCAAATCCGGCCCGCGAGAATGTTTTCAGTGGCCCCTGGGATGATATTGATTTATTATTAGAACCGGCCCGCGGACCGCAGCAAGCCAAGAGCCCGCAGATCTTTTACACGCACCAATACTACATTTCCCACAATGCAACGGTGACGCGCCAAGCAGTCGGCCGCTTTATTTAAATATTTATTAGTCTAGCAGTCGTTCCCATAACAGTGACATTAGCTTTCAGATACCCATCAAAAATGGCAAAACGGAAGGTGGACACCGAGAACCGGGGGTTTCAAACAAGGTGGGAGTCGAAGTACATGTTCATGGACATAGCTGGAAAACCTGGGTGTCTTCTGTGCGGAGAAAGTGTGGCGCGATTGAAATAGTGTAATCTTAGACGACATCATGAAACGAAACACGCGAACAAAAACAAGAACATGGACATGGAGGGGGAAGGGGGATTTCATTAAAAACGGTATACTTAAAGTTTGTGACGAAGTTTACCCCGAAAAAAAGCAACTCTTTTTAAACGTGAGCATTAGCAGAAACACAATTGCAGTGTTTCGGCAAAGATACGGCAGTGCGTGCTGCGCAGTTTGCCCCTTTCCTCCCCGACACAGTGGCCCCGCTGCGCATCCAGGCTGCTCAAACGTTGTCGAAAGTTTGGCAGCACATACGTGTGTGAACAACTATTTTCTTTGATGAAGCTGAACAAAACATCACACAGAAGTCGATTTACTGCTGAACACCCTCACTCAATGTTGAGGATTTGCTCAGCTCAGAGCCTGACCCCAAATATTGATGAACTTGTAGAAAAGTTAAGACACCACCGAGTATAAGCCTCAGCCTCAAAGAAGTGAATATTACTTA